CTGTCAAGCGCAGCCGTGAAGACGCTACTATGGGCTCCGAGCCGTCTATTTCTCTAGCATAACCTATTTAATAAACGGTGGCCGTTAACCCCGCCAGCCTGAATCGTCCGTCGTCCATTCGGCCCTCCACTCTCGATGGGTGAAGCTAGAAAGGTCTTTTTCATTTATTTTCTTTTTGAAGGACTTTCACAATCGAAGAAGTCTCGGATCGTTGATGTTGAAGTTGTCGTAGGCGATTTCTCTGCCGAACAGAGTGAAAGGTTTCTCGTGCATGGAGCTTGCCACGCCCCCATCGAAGGAAGACGCCATTTTTTGGCGTCGTCATCGTGAACCATGCCACTTGGAAACATATACGGGATGAGAATCCGCGTTCTTATGCATCTGATTTAATCTGCCGAACGTGTACTCACAGATAGTAACCTTACTTCGGCAGCTACCCATGCACTCAGAGTGTAACTCCACAAGAAATGCATGGTTGTCATAAGGGATCTACGAGGCAAGAAACAAAGGGGTATACACTGCAAAAAAGCTAGAATACACATCCCTATATCTTTGTTCTATTTCATTGGATGTATAGATGTTTATAGAATTCGCAGAGTATGTCGGGACGAACTATGCCATTGGGGCATGGTAGTAGGACTGCCCATTAAGAAGGCGTACCAAACACTAGGCCATGTCAATAGCATCAAGCCAAGTGGCTAGAACAGCACAACTAACTGGACCCTGCAGCCAGCATGACAGCACACAAGGCAGCAATCTCTATCTCCCCCTCCCACCCTTCCCCTTCGTCTCCTTTCGTTCCCCTCTTTCCTTTCTCTCTTTCTCCCCCTATTCTATTCATCTTTGCAATCCTACCTAAGGATTTGGCCCTTCGTGTCAGGTATCCCGTAAGGCGTAGAATCATCCATGCTGGCTGGGTTGCCCCATGCTCCACCCATCGTTGGGAGTGCGTCAAAGATAGTGCTCGTGCTGACCTTCGACCCGCAGAGGTGGGGAGGGGCTTGGCTCCAACCAACTAATGTGGCATGGTCAGCCTCACATACCAGTGGCAAACGCGTTGTGTTAGTATTATCTCATTAGTTCAAAACCACAATGCTGCGCTCTATGTAGCCTTTATAAAATCGTGGATCCAGAGAGAGAATTTGTATGCTCTGCTGATGATGGCCAACAAGAACAAAGAGCTTCCATATCTGGCTCTTTTTCTTGGGATCGACATGGTTTTTTGTCATGAAAGGGAATAGTAAGGGGGGCGCGTTAGGGTAAAGGCCGCCCACTGATAATGCGCCTTGAGTGGACCCCCGGTAAGTTGAGGAATAGATCCAAATCATCATTGAATTGGGATGACCCTTGCCGATCCTCCAAACAACACATTAGACAATTAGGGTTGGTCATGCACACACATAGACAGTAACATGATCCCGCAATAGTTCTTGACGGACTTTAACAGTCCGCGTAACTGATGTGACTGACACCTTGTGATGCACATTTGCAGAAAGTTTTTAGAAACATTAGCACGCACTCATACAATACTGAGGAGTAGTCTCTGATTGGATTAAAAAATTCGTGTCCCAAATAGTACACCGATGCCACAGTCTGTATCTACCGAGATTGTTTTCATTCTAAACAAAAGAATCCGAAAGCACTTTTCTGATTGGTTGTGTATCGAGAGAGCTAATAAAATAACCAGTCTTATCTAAATTAAATTGGGCTACATGACTGCATTTCTTTCATTCCTGAAGATACCTAAGCTTGCTTGTGCGAGTGCAGCAGGAAGCGCTTCTCACGCAACTGAGCTACAAATGCTAGAACCATGCATAAAGCTACATATTCCAAGTTTCAGGCTTTGGTGGGCAATTGGTATGCACTTTTTCGCCGAAAAGACTGTCTTCGGCAGAAGGGTTATGCTCGCTTGCGTGCATGAAGGAGGTTGGACTAAACTGTTGGGTCATTTTTGTACCCCTTCATAACCTATTGGCTTTCTGTAGCTACAGGTTACGTAAACAGTTTGTTTAAGTAATTTTGCGTGAGGCCACCCCAGTTGAGTGGGGCTTCTAGTTAATCCTGTTAAGAAGGGAGATAAGGAGGATCAGCGAATTATAGGGGCATACTCTGGTGAGTGTGGTTGGGAAGGTCTTATCGAAGATTGAATCAATGGTTGGTGGTGAACTTTGGATGAGGGCAAGCATTGCATGAGGGGCCAGGTTGGTTTTAGGGATGGAAGGGGTTGTGTTTATATATGCTTATACACGATGCTCGTGCTGGGTAGAAAGCAAGACTAAAGGAGGGGAAAAAGCATTGCATTTTTTCTAGATTTGCAGAAGGCATACATAGTGTGCGGCGGTAACGCCTGTGGTTAGGGTGTGTGGGAGTTTGGGGTGATAGTAAGGCTTTGAGGTCATTAAGAGATGTTACGAGTCTTCAAGGGTCTGTTTGTTGGTGGAAAGCTCAGAGGGCTGTTATTTGGAGCAGGTGTAGCTCGGGGATGTAGCTTATTTGTTTCCGTATTTTCAATGGTTGTTGATGGAGTAGAGGAGCTGAGAATTGGTAGATTATTTAAATAGTGGTGGGAGACTTGGAGACTTTTGTTGGAGATGATTTGTTGGTGTGTTAGTGGGTCTAAGGATCAGTTAAACTCTTATGATGTGGTGCATGTTTACTGCTGAAATGAAGGCTAAAGGGTAATGTGAAGTAGAGTGCAGTGATGGGTGTTCGCTAGAGTCATGATCTGTGAAGAGATAAGTGTTTTTGGGGTTCGTCTAAGCATGTAATGATGCGTTAGGTGGGGATTGGGGTCTTGTTACGTTCAAGGCGTAGGGATAAGAAAGTGGTGGTATAAGTTGCGGCATTGCCAGCATAGAGGCTTTTTAATCAGGAATGGAATTTTAAGTCCAGGGAGAGGAGTCAGAGGAAGTGGTGTTTAAGGTCATTGATGATCTCTTTTCGTCATTAGGTTAGTCTTGACAAGGCGAGTGTTGCATGATCTTCAAATCGGGGATTGCTCTCATGAAGGGCATTTGGTCTACAACCGTAGGGGACAGTATCCATGAGAGGATGATTAGAAAGTTGACAAGAGGGGCTAATGGCAAAGTAAGCTGTTGTTGTATAAAGAAATTAACAAGGTGGTAGAGACTAAAAAGTACTTGCATGGGAAAAGTGATGCTGGGTCTAGATAATGTTTTAAGTTCAGCGTGATGCTCACACATGCCTAATGAGGAACTGGTAGGAATAAAGAGGGAGGGAGGGAGGGGAGGAGTGCCTGTTGTTTGATGATGAGTGTGAAGTGTGTGTCCTGTGTTCGTGGAGTGTCCCGCATATAGTAGTCTTAGAGCAATTTCTCTCTCAGTTGCCCTGCAGGGGGTGCTTGCGGGATGATGGGTTGACGCGTTTCCAGCAGTCGCTTGATTTTCAGAAAGTATCCCTTATTTTGGGGCAGTGAGCTGTGGGAGGAGTGCCTGTTGTTTCGATGATGAGTGTGACAGTGTGAGCTCATGTGTTGTGTGAGTGTCCATTATATAGTAGTGTACGAGCTGGTTGACGTTTAGTAACCTCAGCTCCTGGATATAAGTTACGTGAGCTGTTGTTGACATTGTAGTGTCCTTCATTGGCACTTTTCCCGAAACAAGAGACTGGTGCCCCCATTGCACACTTTATCTTTGTCCCTTTCTGTAAAGGGCTGGTTCTCAGCAGGGATTCTTTTCTCAGGGTTTTCCCTATGATCTTGGCCGCATTGTCCTAAATAAATCACACCCCAGCTTCCTCGCTCACCTCCGTGGACAACGCTTCGCTTTGGCCTCAGTGCCTAGGATGACTTTTCCCCCAACAATGATGCTGAGGCTGCTCGCTGCCCATACATATTACAACACTTTTTCATCAACGAAGTACCACCTTTTGTGTAATTAGGTGGTAGCTGAAAGAAGGTCAACCATAATCAAAGTACTAGGAAGGTCACAAAAACAAACTACTGCTTCAGTACCCCTACCGTACATTGCTACTACTGCGCCTTCCCTCAACGGCCAATACCAAAACACAATGCTTTTGATGTACATAAGCGGTAGCTCTTTAATCCCCTGAAGAGGGTCACCTATCGTACTATGGAAGTAAAAGAAACTGGTGTAGTACCCTACCCGCGCATGGCTACCACTGCACTTCTCCCACAATGCTGATCCTCGGAGACTGCAAGGTCAGGAACCACTGTCGCGGAAGTCCACCACCCATCTGCAGGAGTGGTCGGAAGTGTTGCCACACCTATTCCTTGGGGGCTTGCCCCTTTTACCCCTTTGGGGGCTCCACCCTTCCAAAAGGGAACTTGTTGTAGTGGAAGAGAACTGGTAGGAGCAGTCCTACTATTTGTTACCCTCAAGGCATGGGACATCACATATGGATCACATTTATTATGGCACAGCAACCTACCCATTCTCTAAGACAAATCTCCAAACTAAAACAAGGAGATGACCCGGAATCCTACTTCTCTCCTTAGCAATTGGAAAAGTTAGGGAATGATCGGCTAACATTTCTTCTCCTAGAGAGAGGGCAATCGGTAGTAGTGTACTTTCACTGTGGTCATCACTAGCTCCTTCTCAGATCACTTACTTGGCTTTTAGTGAATCTTGGTGAAGTAGATATCCTTACCATACTGTTGCAAAACAAAACAACGCTCTCTGCATTTAAATGCTTTTCGTAATCCCCTGTCTTTAATACTTTCAGGTTGTGGTAAATGTCTCAGACACAATGCACACACACCTTCACAATGCCAGCTTTCGGTACAACACAGAGAACATCACTAACATTTTGACAATGTGAGTAAGGCTGTTGAGAACATTATACATTGATTTGTGGGCAAGCATGAGCTGCTTGGCCAGGTTGCGCAAAGAATATAGATGTGCTGAAAGCAGACACAGAAATGTGAAGTTAACAGTTCATGTTTCGAAGGATACATTTCCTACACCAAATTCTGTTGAAGTTTGTTTGAAATAAATAGGACAAACAAGTGTCCCTTGTTAAACTTACGCGGTTTGTGCGGAACCTAGTACTATCAAATGTGGTTGGTAAATTCGAGTGAGCTTTGCACTAAAACTGAATAGAACAAGGGTTGCCCTTTACTAAAATAAAACATTCATACCTCTGATAGTACCCTCTAATTCTCCTGTTGCAGGATGATGGTAGGCATCAATCTCCATTGATACTTCTCCACAGGAAGCATCAGTATTCTGTAGTCTTTGATTTGAGTCAGCAATATAGTCTGATATGATCATGTCTGTGGTTTGCCTGTATAAGCAAATGATCCCTTTTAATTGAGTAATACCACGGTCGAGGGTAGCTGGTTTTATTTGAACTTGGCCCCCTTCAGCGAAGAAATCCTACCAATAGAGAAGAAAAGATCAGATGATCAACAAGACCGGACAGTATCAGTACAATTGGTTCCACATTACGACACACGAAATATTAATCTGGTGCACGCAGAGCAAGCCGATCTGGTTGAGGTAAGCCTGTGCTATTTTGCATAATGGCTTTGTCACTGGGTTTTCACGTCAAAACTCTCAAACGCAGTACTTTTACGAAATTCGCCAAATTTCAAATAAAGCTGCTGAACCTATTGGTGTCGCTCTTTTGTTGCGTCTGCATACACCTTAAGTGGAACCTCTGTCTATTGAGTTCATTCGTACCACTGCATTTTGAAAACTGTGCCGTATGAGCAATGTCATGCTATATGAACAAAAGTGTCAACCACTGGTGCATTTAATTCTACAACAAAGTAGTTTTTTTCTCCATACGTACCCTTAATATCTCTAGCATAGTTTCCAGAGCAGTGCATTGTCTACTGGTATAATGATGAGCTGGAAACTCAGAAGTTGCTGCTTGTACACCTTCCTTATCCCACTGCAACATCGGCAAAAGCATATGGTGCAGGCTCTCCAACACCACATACCACACCTCCTAAGAATGACACAAAGAAAAAACCTTAGGATCTTAAAATTTGATAGGATTCTAAAAGTGACAAGGCAAGTATATGGAGCCAATTTTTCTCAGATAAACAACACTATGAAGACTAACCAAAATATTATTGGCAACTTGGAGTGAGCTAACTTAGTGGTAGAATGGTGCGATTTTAAAAATATATAATTATAGGACTGTACATTGTCCAACTGCGCATGTTTTTGGACTACTTTCATTGGATTTTTACTCGCTGCCTGATCCTCGATGTGCGCTCTTTGATGCCTGAGCAAGATGAGAGCATTATAAAAACGAGAAAGAAGAATGATTAACATCAACAAAAGCAGACAAGGAATGAGCAACCACTACATTTTAAAGAACATATTACACAAAGCAGCATGTTGCTACTTCAACATTGGTAAAAACTCAGCGATACCTATATACTATTGCAAGGTGGAAGAGGGTTCAAGTGGGTCGGGTCAAGTGACAGTATCCTAGTCTCAGATCAGTATTATGTAGGTAACAAGAAGGTCCCTAATACAGGTGATGTGCTAGCAGGAGTTTGATTGTACCCACCGACTGATCAGATATCATCTAGGTGGTATAAAATGTATTTTTATGCCTGGGCAATGCTCACTGGCCTCCCATGGACGTAATGAAATTGACAGACACACATCAGCTAGCAGCCATTGCTTTAGGAAGAAGTACAGTACACGACAAAAAAGTACGGTCACACTGTAGTAAGAACTACGGTCTTGCTACGCTGCTGCTAGGCCGTAGATTCCGTACTGTGGTGAAAGCCGTAGACCTGCTACGGCGCATGCCGTAGTTTACTAACACCCAGATACAGTCCTCTACCAAGTAGCGTTTCCCTATGCAGCTTTAGCTAGCTGTATGGCCAGGAGATCCACACGGCGTTCACACAGCGACAGTGCTGACGGCGAGGCGATCGATGGGCTGCTCTTGCCGTGTTGATACGTGTTTAGTGGGCGCGGTCGCACGCGCGCATGTTGCGTCAGCGCGCTTAGAAGGTGCAAAGGAGTGCGAGAAGTGATAGCAAGCAGTAGTAGCCTTGCTAGACACGACTGCGCTACAACGCTAGTGTTCTTAGCTTACTCTCAGCTTTAGAAACAACGCTCCAGCTACGGTGCTCTACAGTCGACCGTAGATCCGCCGTAAAACATTTTCCTACGGTATCACCGTACTACGGCGGCGTAGTGGGAACTTTTTTTTGGCGTGTACTGTAGCTTGCGGACAGTACGAATGTGTTATCTTGATGGATGATATGTAGTTGGTGGCTGGAGTAGACACATGTACATTTTGAATATTCAGGTATTTCTTGCTACACACATGCACAAAAAACGATACGCCTATAATGACATATCACATTCAAAACACACGCCTACTTTGCTTTTCTCCTCACATTCACCA